AAGAATCACAGAGACCTAGACCCAAAATCTTCCAGATTCCAATAGACCTATATAATTTTCGAGTGAAGAGGGCACAAAATAAGAATAGGAGAACTAGTTATAGAGAAATACGGAAGAAAAAATAAACAGAAAAAAATTATTACTGAAGAAACTGCTCTATTTTCAACCATCCAGGAAAGCCTACTTAACTGTTTTAATGTGAATGCATTCTTATAAGTTCTTATAAAATAAAATTGCATACCTCTGGATCTATTGCATATTCAGGAGATATGCATAATGTACCCTAAGGTCTACAGAAGAGAGGAAACAAGCTGTTACACAAAGAATGCTCTCCTACCTTTACAGCTTCTCCAAGAGTTTGGTTCTTATCAGCTTCCTCAGTGGAGTGTAATTCAAGTCTATAATTTAACTCCTGTAGCTGCTGTGCCTGTTCATTCAACAGTATTTGTGCCTGCTGTTCCCGAAGTAATGCATTATTTAGTTCTTCACATGCACTTTCAAACTTCTCGTGGGTGATCAGTTTCTTTAAAAAGAAGTGGAAAATCAGTTACAAGCTAACCACAATGCTGTATCATTTAATCTTTAGAACTATATTATATGCAAACATTTCTAATTATCTGATACAAGACAAAAATACAATTTGTTTTTTCTTAATTTCATAAGGCAAGATAAAAATATCAAACTAGTTAAAGCATAATAGTCCTACTCCAAAGCTACCATTTTAGTCAAACAAAATCTGTCAACTCCCCAATTATTCTAAATAAATCCTTAATGCTTAGTTGAAATCTTCCTGTATGATCAAATTGCTTTATAAATCTTTTTAAAAAGACTTTGATGGACAGATTAAAATCCTTAACAAAGCCCTCGGCTTTCAAATGATCACCTAAGTGTGTGTTCAATGTATTATTGTTCTAGTCTTCCTCATCAAATGTCCTCTCCTCCTCAAGTCCCAACCACACACCCTTGCTTATTCACAGCAGCACATCATCTTGCTTTATTTTCTTCATTGGCACTGGCATTACTTAAAATCACCTCACTTTTTACTACTATTTAACCACACCCTGACACTATATATACACATATATATCAAAATGTAGTTCTAAGGACCGGCCAAATAGCAGGTGCAGGGGCCCAGGGTTCGATCTCCAGACTTGCTGTGCCAGCCCCGCCCCTGGGTCATGCTGAGACAGCAATTGAGACTGGGTGTGGTGGCGCACACCTGTAATCCCAGCTCTTGACAGGTGGATCACTATGGGTCCAACTAGTAGTGAGACCCTGAACACCCTGGAGACCCTTCCTTAAAATACAAAAAAAAAAAACAATGTAGTTCTACTGCAGGGACCTCATTTAATTTTCTCATTGAATATACAGACAAAGAAGGCCTTCAATCGATATTTATTGAGTCAGGCATGGCAGTGCACACTTACATTCCCAGAGCAGCTAGGAAGGAGGACTGCCATGAGTTCAAGGCACTGTCATTACTTAAAATCACCTCACTTTTTTATTTTATTTATTTATTTATTTATTTATTTATTTATTTATTTTGTGTGTGGTCAGTTCAGCCTGCTCTGTGAGCAGGGCTGGCATGGCATGTGGTGCTAAAGATCGAATCATGGTCCCTGTGCTTGCTTGCCTAAGCAGGAGCTTTGGACTACTGAGCTATCTCACCAGCCCCATCACCTCACTTTCTGTTACATCTGTCCACATCTTTGCACTAATACACATATAAAAATGTAGTTCTGGGGGCCTGGCCCTAGCTCAGGCCTTTAAGTGGCTGCTTCCACAAAGCTGTCAGCCTCAGGTTGCTGGAGTTCGAACCTCACACCTCTCCCACTGGCCAAAAGTGCCCTGAAGGCATTCGAGCAACAACAACAACAAAAAAAAATGTAGTTCTACTGCAGAGACTTTATGTACTTTCCTCATAAATAAAGCAAAATAAAAAATGTTGAGTGAAAAGTACTAATATATAAACATCAGTCAATGAAAGAATACCAGGGCACACCACAATATCATGATCACTCTGAAGAACAGAGCAATGTACTCTGTAATAACTAATGATGGTTAGAAACAGCGGCCATCCCTTAACTCATGTCAGATCCAGGGTAAGACACACTTGTACTATCTCCAATTCAAAACATTTAAAGAAGCAAAAACTATGACAAACAAGAGATATACTGATCTTGAACTATAAAAAGAAAAAGTGTTTCACAAAAGATAGGTAATTAAGAATGCTATGTGGAAAACTAAAGAAATTAAGATTTCTAACTTTCTCACCATTAGAACAATCTGATGTAGATTAATATAGTTACAAATATAAAGCAAGTAAATTTGACCTTTTAAAGACTCTAGGAAGGCCGGTGGGACCAACTCCGGGTCCCAGGCCAGGCGCACCGTGGATCACACCCTCTTCCATCCACTTGGGACACCCCCCACCACTCCACAACACCTCCCTCACGATGCCCGCAGAGTAGGAATTTCTGCCGCGTTCCGCAAACCCCCAGACACAGGCCTAGCCCAGGTCCGGTGAGTGTGTGGCAGAGTTTCCGGCTACCCTGCACCGGCGGGACCAACTCCGGGTCCCAGCCCAGGGCAGTGTGGGTCAGACCTTCTTCCACGCCCTTGGAATGCCCCCGACCACTCCACAGCACCACCCCCACCCCGCCCGATGAGTAGGAATTTCTGCCACGTTACGGGAACCCCCAGACCCACTTCTAGACCAGGCACAGTGAGTGTGTGGGAGAGTTGCCTCTACCCCTACTCCACCTTATCCCCTAGAGGCTCAGCTCAGGCCTGGCATACAGGCCTGGCGTATAACACTGCAGCTGCAATCCCTACAGAGAGGGTAGAGGATAGATCCACCCAGCTAGTCCAGGAGCAGAACATCTTGCCACAGGGGCACAACAGGTTCACCCTCAAGGGCAGCAGCAGGAAGGAGCTGAGCACAGCAGCCAGACCCAAGCCAGGCACAGCTGGATAAATCCAAATTTTGTAGATCTGCACTT